ACATTTGTGTGCCCTCTAGACAATTGTTAACAATTTGTTTGTTATGGACACTAAGCTCACTTTCTTAGAAATTGGTCAGTCTTAGGTTAATATTTGTATTGATTGCTATATATTGATTGTATATATTGCTTTTCATGTAAGCATTTCTGAGTATCACAAATGATTAGTTTCAACCTTCTCATGCTGAAAACTTGACAGCGCCACGCCTGACGGCTTCAGACTTATTGTGCATGTGTAATTTAGGACACCCGGGCACTTTGGTCCCTCATAATGATTTGAATTAGATTGGGTCTGTGTTTGTCCTAATTTACCATTTTTATGGGAGAATTTTGATATTACTTTCCATATGATGACTTTATGAATAACTCATTTTTATTCCCTTCAAATCTTCAACGCAAATATTTAACTGCATTACCAACTTATGCCGCACTCTGTACCTTCCACTCGCGTGCACTGATGCACAGGGGACTGGGGTTATACAATACTGGGGTGCCTTTTTCAGATCGCTCAGTCATCGTAGTACTTCAGGTTCCTTCTCTGGTTTGTTTGTTTACCTCGACTGAGAAGTGATTTTTGTTAAGTCATGGAAAGAGCTGGCAAGTAGTGTCTCGTACATTCAAACCTGATTAATGTAAACTCAACGATGTTCTTAGTACTTACCTGAAAATGAAAAAAAATTGACGAAAGGGAATTATATAAATGAAATGGAAGTGGATCCAACCATTCAACGTAACACTTAGCTCTTAGCCTGACATACAGAAAGCTGCAATAGGAGCGAAAATTAATTTTTTTTGTAATTTTCAAAAAAGGTACATAAAATAGGTATCTTGTTTACAACAGGATTCGCTTTCCCGTGAATGCAACAACAATAATAATAATAATAATAATAATAATAATTATATAATAATAATAATAAATAATAATAATTTAAAAATAATAATAAAATAATTAATTATTTAAAAATTAATAATAACATGCTAACGATACCACGATGTGATGGCGTTTCCAGCTGGTCTCATTGAGGTGGAAAATGCTGTCCCCTTGACTGGTACTGTGTCGGGTCTCTGTATAAATCCCCCGAAATCCAAATTGTGTGATCTAGATAACTAGATAGTTCGGGTGAAGTGCATGTGTAGCATCGAGAGCTGACTGCTGGATCAATTAGGATTTGTGAAGTGTCTATTCTTGTGACTTTCAAGTTGAACGGGTGGGGAATTCTGTGATTGTCTGTGGTAGTTGCTGCATTGTCTGAACTTTATCCAGCAAATCTTACTACGTTCTGACTGGCAGAAGCTTTTGCAGCGGGCTAAGGGACGGAGGATGGAGACAGCATCTAGAGCTGAATGGCCCCCGTCTCAGCGCAATAAAAATTACAAATAAAAAAAAGTGCGCTATGGCAGCTAGAGTGCGTCATAAAAGCATTGCTGTGGGTATACCAAAGTCCCATTCGTTACTGATGTGCATCCATTACTTTGAGACTTTTTCGAATGAAATTGCAACGTCCTTATTTAACTTTTGATTACCTAGAGGAGCCGGAAACGGTGTCTCTTGATATTTGCTGTTTTTGGCCTGTTATTCTTATATATAGCTTGTGTTGGAGCGTTGTGTTAAGTGTCTTGGTGCTGGTCGGAACACCTCACAAAACATATTCTGTAGGTAACCGGGAAATCACTCCCGGTAATATCACTCCCTGTAATATCACTCCTAGTTAAATTTGACTCCGGGAACTGGATTCCGGGTATTTTAACTCCCTGACAATTTTTACTCTAGGTAATTTTCGCTATCCATATGTAAAAAAAATATTTAAAACATTTATTAAAACATTTATACTAAATAAGAGTTTTTGTTTAGGTTACATTAGGTTATGTTAAAGTTAGATTAAGTTAGATTATATATAGGTTAGGTTAAATTAAGTTTGGCTAGGTTAGGTAAAATTCGATTTGATTAGATTCATTTAGTTTAGGTCAAGCTGTGGAAAGTTATGTGAGGACAGGATAAGGTAGAATTCAAAACAACTTTAATTAAAACTTGAAATTTTCTGACTATTTAAACAAAACTATGTTTTTTAAAATGAGGAGTAAAATTGCTGAGAATAAATTTGCTAGAGTCAAATTACCCGCAGTAAAATTGTTTAATATCTTTCATATACCTTCTCTGTCCATGTATCTTATTATTTGTTGGTTTTTACGAAGTCTAGCGACCGAAATGTAGCTGCAAAAAATGCTTTATTAGTTGCAAGTGTGTCTGTTTTACTAACTATAAAATATAGACTTACAAATCATCTAATTATCAGGTTAGAAGCCCCCTAGATCAGCCAATGGCATTTTTTTTTTGTTAGTTAAGAATTAAAGCTAGCATTAGTTCTTTAACCCGCACAAAGGAGAGAGAAACTTATGACGATGTTTTGGTCCGACTTGACTATTAACGGTCCAAATGGGAACTATGTGCAAGTTATTTGTGTATTGTTCAACTCACGACGTTGTGCCTTTTTGTTCTTTCTGTCTAGGAGGGAGTCAGTTCAAAGTTAGTGTTAGCATAGTGTTAGCATAGTGTTAGCATAGTGTTAGCATAGTGTTAGCATAGTGTTAGCATAGTG